AAGCACAAGTTTAACTCAATAACATAACCAAATCATAAGCTAGAAGGGTACAAAATGATATACAATTATGAACCGATCATAGTACTCCGAAATTTAAACATAATCTCTTGGGCAATGAGGATATTATCTGTAATATGTCTACAGGGAACAAAACTCACCTGATGGGGACTGATTAGCTTAGGCAGAATATGCCTCAGCCTAGCAACAATCACTTTAGAAATCACTTTATAAAGAGTGCAGCATAGGCTGATAGGGCGAAAGTGCATCATAGAAACAGGGTTAGCCAATTTAGGAACTAGAGTGATGAGAGTAGCATTCAAACCTTTGAGAATGTGACGCTCCCTGAAAACTTGAGAAACCAGGTCATAAATGTCATTACCACACATATTCCACTGATTTTGGTAGAAGCAAGCAGGAAACCCATCCACTCCAGGTGCTTTGAGACCACCTATATTGAAGAGACTTTCCTTGACTTCACTAATATCAACACGAGCCACCAGACCATTCAAATCAACATCATTGATACTGGGAAACAGATTAGGCATGGATAGCCCACTGTGATCCCTGGGAGTCATAGAGAAGAGGCCTAGAAAATAATTCACAGCAAGCTCTTTTAAACCTTCAGCCTCCTCTACCCACAAATCATTATCATTTTTCAGCTTTTCAATCCTATTTTTCCTTCTTCTAACAATGGTGGTTAGATGAAAGAACTTAGTATTACGGTCACCTTCTTGAAGCCATTTTATCCTTGATTTCTGTTGCCAAAATAAGGCCTCCTGCTCAAGAACGGCATTATACTCTGTAACAAGAGATTCTTCCAACTGACTGAGAGATCTATTAGACCTGTGATGCAACACCTTTTGAATACCATTGAGCCGAGCTAGAAGCTTCACTTTTCTTTGCTTTAAATGCCTAAAAACAGCCACATTCCACTGCTTCAGAGGTTCCACCAAATCCCAAGATTTATGCAGAGCCGACCCAGCCCCTTGTTCCCACTTTGGAATCACAAAATTTTGAAATTGCTCATGCTTCAACCACATGGCCTCAAATCTAAAAGGTCTACTGTTAGGACAGGAAACCATTCGAGATTTGAGACTAATTTTAATGGGGCAATGATCAGACTTGGTCCTTGGCAGATGCTGAACAAAAGCATCAGCAAAGGTTTGCCTCCATTGAGTATTACACACAGCTCTATCCAGTCTTTCAAAGATTCTTTTATTGCTCCAAGTAAATTTAGGCCCCGAATAGCCTAAATCAACCATACTATGATCATCAAACCACTTCTTGAACCCTTTGAGTCTACATAAATGAGATCCTCCAACCTTGTCATCTACATTGAGCATTTCATTAAAATCACCAGCAAGGAGCCAAGGCATCTTGTGACAGCTAGCCATAAAATCCAGGTATTCCCACAACTTCTCCCTTTTAGCATAACAAGGGTTAGCATAATTCGAGTTTTTTTAATCATCAATTGGGGAAATTGACTCGGTAAATTTATTTATTTATTTATTGAGTGTGAAACTGTTGGTCGTAGATGTAATCTGAATTTTATAAAACAACAATTAAATTAAGAATCAACAAATATATATATATATTTTAAAGCCAAATTAAAGCGGACAAAAGCCAAACAAACAACTACAAAGTCTGCATTACTATTATTAACCATGAAATCAATCTAAGCTTACATGAATCAAAACTCTAAAACAATTTGTTGACGTGAGTCTCCTAATTAATTAAGGAGAATTATTTCCTTGATTAATTAAGGGATTTACTTTCCCATTCCATGTAGTTGACAAATCTGTGTATAATTAGGAGATACTTTCCTAATTCCTGTTTGAATCTTATTCCTTGTAAAGCACTCTGTAAACCCATATATATACCTCCTTATGGAGAAGAATAAAATATCTGAACATATTGAAAACCCGTATTCATATTTTAGCATGGTATCAGAGCAATCGATCGCCTTGAAGACGATGTAGAACATGACAGATTTGGAAAAGTGCATCAGTCTCCAGCGATCCAATTGCGCATGTGGTGAATAAAAGTCCTAAGCTGACAACAATGACCAAAAACAATTAGGTAGATTGCATCAAAATCTTTCAAATTCGTGATAGAACTTTTATTTAGAGAAAATGAGAGAATGATCAGATTGATCAATTGGCAACAAAGAGGTGATGGGTGGAAGCATATATTGTTAACATGCTTGTGACTTACAAGTTTCAATTTCTACAATGCTTGAATAGACTCTTTCTAGTTCTAATGTGGATATAAAGAGCGTTTTTGCTCACCACTTTAACCCAAGGTGTATTCTCATAACCCTTCTTAACACTTGACACGTGTCCATATGCATAACCATGGTTCAATAAATACAAAGTAAAAAGTTAACTATGGTTATACCTATAGACACGTGTCAAATATTAAGAAGGATAGTGATGATACACCTTGAGCTAAAGTGGTGAGCAAAATTATTTTCTGTGGGTATATAAGTTTAGTGCAAAAAAAACCAATAATAGGTTAGTGCCAAATCCTTTTGGGAAATGTTCTTAAATACCACTAGTAATGTAACAAAATTCTCAAATAGTACCATAGAAAATTGACAAATTGACCATATATATCGACAAAATATTGATACTTTATTTATGTAACATCAAGACTATCTATGACTGTTTGCTATGATATTGATATAAGAGGATCTACAATCATACTCTTTACTTTTTTAGTTAAAATTAAGCTAAAAACACACAAAAGCTATTTTAAGTGCCTGTTTGGCATTGCTTATTTGGGGTGATAAGTGATTTTAAAACAAAATTGGGAAGTCCAGCCCGTTTGGTAAACTGTGAGAAAATCACTTATTGTTAAAAATTGTTGTGAGAGAAAGCAATAAGGGAAAGCAGCTAATGAGGAGCTTTCATTTTCTGATTATGCAGGAATCAATTTTGAATAGGCGCTGGGTTTAATGATTATGCCACAATCATTTTCTGATTATGAGGAAATCAATACCAACAACACTTTTAACAAAAAGTTTACCAAACGCCAAACTGCTTTCACTCACAGCTGATTTATCTTACAGCAAATCTGACAGTGATTATTTTCATAACACAGTAATGCCAAACTGGGCCTAAGAGTTCTCTATAAAATTTCAACTTCAATCTCTCTAGTTTAGGGAGTCATACTCTTTCTTTCATTTTTTGCTTTTTTATATAAGCGATAATCTACTTTAAACTAATCTAAAATACGGGGAGGGGAATTTGAACTCGGGTGCAGAGTGGGGAGCCCATGTCTACCTCTTTCTTTAATTCAACATAAATGGTGCATCTCTATAAACAATATATATAAAATAGGCAATCTTAATTAAATGTTTAAAATACTCGTTAAATAAGGCATCATTAAATTATAGGAGCCACTAAGAGTCCATTCTTTCTCCTCATATTTAGGAGCTCGTCTCCCTATTTTAGTAGTGGGATAGAGAGCATGGTCGGACTCAGAGGTGGGTTTTTTCCCTTCCACTCTAAATTTTATCTAAAAAAATGGTTTAGGAAAATCCATAATGAGACTATTTGCAACAATAATACTGCTACTTGAGAACTTTATAGCAAACAGTAATGGTATTTAAGAACATTTCTTAATATTTTTCTTTATTATTTATGCAAGGCCTTAGGGAGAGGTTACCTAAAAGTAAGGATATTCATAGTGAGGGCCCTGATTATAAGTATCTTGATGATTTGTTCCTTAATATTAAATTAAATCTTGATGATTTGTCAATTTCACAATTTATAAAATTGAAACTAAACGTGCCATGCACTATCATGTCATGCAAATTGAAATCATAGCGTCCTTCAATTTTAATGTGTTAGAGAAGGATACGTGGTGACTCAGTAGTCGCTGGTCCTTGGTCCAAACACTTCACTACTCGTTGATCTTTCTCTCAATTTTTTTTTCTCTTTTTGTTGTCAATCAATTTAAGGTTCTTCTGATATTCAAACCTTTTTAATTCAAAAGCACAATATTCTTTTGAGATCCCCTCCCTTAACTAATAGACTTTTATGCCGATAGAAAAAACAGAGATGGATGTTGCCGGCAATCTTCATACCGGCCGAGGCCGGACCATTCCAAGAAATAATAATGTAAGGTAGGGCCACTTAATATATCCACCCAAGAGCAAAAGTAAATTTTTTTATTTTTTTTTATTTTTACCGTAGCGAGATTGTATTACGTTATGAGGACAATACAAAAACAATCTGGCATCAACACACCTACCAAAATATTTTTCGACCGACTACGAGTGACAATAACCAATAACATAATAAATAGACTTTACCTTTCACATTGTGTAATCAGATATTGTGATCACAAAATAATGTCATCTTTCTAAAAGGAAATGTAAAAAGATATATATTTTAGCACATTGACCCACATATTAAGCAAACATGGCATTGGAAACACAGAAGTGTTGCGTGTTTGTTGTTGCAAGCATAGAAAACTCAACTTTCTATCCTTATTATAATGGAAAAAAATTCAGTACACAAAACAAACAAAAACAAATGAGGGCTGCTACAAGTTAAATTATTTTTCTGTCTTTAATTTTATTTTAAGGTATCTTGTTCCTAATACTATTTCGTGTGTGGTACTCTTGTTATTATCATACTTCCTTCTAAATTCTGATCCGGCTTCACCTTGACAAAGTCCACGCATCCCTCCAATTTGCTCACCCCCTCCTGCTTCTTGGTACCCTCTCTCTTTTTTTCTTACGAGAAATTATTCCGTGTTTATAGTAACACCACGTGGTATGCCGACATGATGTTACAAATTTATCTCCAATATATTATATATAGTTATTGAAATCACTGTATTAAATATTAAATACGTTTATAATTTGAGTGGATTTATAACACCACATCTCTCTGGTGTTGCACAATAACTTCTCCCTCAGCCATCGCTTTCATGTGCATTGGCCCACAGACGTATAAACCTCTTCTATATAATATCCGTCATTGCATATATATTACATATATATGCTCTCCCTCAAAACCATCATTACAAAACCATCTATATCTTAGAATCTCCACAATCTTATACCTTCTTTTGTTACCTTTCCAGACATTTTCTTGTCTTTCCTCGATATATACGCACTGTACCTGCTCTCTAGCGTGGGAAAGAGATCACAAAAGCCAGAAGTATTCGGTGTACAAATTTTCCAAAACTAGAATTACATGATCATGCCCAAGGCCAGGAAAGAAAGCAGACTCGCCAGGTTTTTGAAGTCCCCAATAAGGATTTTAATCAAGGCCAGGGACTTCTACATCAAGAGCATGACAGAGTGCTCGGGTACGTTTGATTATGCCTCGGCGATGGGTTGCCCTACCCAAATCCCAAGTTCTTTGCCTAAAAGCTACAGCACCAACTCCACCAAATCCAGCGCCTCTAACAATGAAGATTACAGGGAGCTTATGAGGGCTGCTTCTACTAGGAGTGTAAGAAGTAAAGTTGAATTCGATCTTGCTAGAAAAGCGCAACAGCCTAGGCAGCCGGAAATGGCCGCAGTGCTCAACACCGTGCCTCGCAGTCGTAGCGTTGGGATTGGAAGGATTGATGAAGAGAAGGCTTGTGAGTTTGATGAAGAGGAAGTCAAGATGAAGAGAGATGTGTATCCAAGAAGTAGAAGCTACGCTGTTTCTAGGAGAACAATTATGTCGTAGTTAATGGAGCAAATTGTGCAAGTCAAATATGAAAGAACAAATTAGAAGGGAGGCGGACTATCTCTCAAAGTCAATTGTTTTGTGCTGATGTTAATCCTAATTTCTTCAAGTCTTTTAGTTAAGTTGATTGTTGGTAGGGATTTTGAACCAACATTAATGTTTAGTTTGGAACTTTTGTTGTAGCTTTTGTGATTCTTAAATTAATTGTGAGATATATATAGAACTTCAATTAGTACCTTTTTTCTTCATATATATATATAGAGGAAACCGTATATTGCATTTATAAATCAAGCACAAAGGCTAATCATAAAGGCCAGTACAAGAACAACTATAAATACCTTAGGGTTAATATAAATATAGAAACGCAGTAACCACGAAAGGTTAATTCATATAAGAGAGAGAACACGGGCATCAACATTGTACATTCTTCTGCTAGCCGCTAGCTCATTTTGCATGTCATCAAATCTCTATTGAGTATTTGAAACAGTCCTAGAATATGAAAAATATATAAATTTCTAATAAATGTTCTAGTTAATGTTCTCTTCCAAATGCAGATCATCAATCGTCCACTATTTCACGTAGAAAACAGGTGAACAAGTTTGAGTTAGTTGGCCAATGTCTTTCATTATTTGGACCCTTGGAAAAAAAAAAGGGATTTGCAAAACCAAAATGCACGTGGTTGGTGGAATTCCTTTATTCGGAGTAATTTTCCATTGGGCTTTTTGGAGTAGTTTAATGGAGTGGTGGGTTATTTCTTTAATTTAGAGTTAATTTTAAAGTCATCGCAAAATGTTAATAAATAGAAAATATTGGCAAACAACTTGATAGTGTTGAGCCACTAACATGGATGATACAGTAAGTTTTGGATGACGGTGCTATCTGTGTGGACAACTCTCTAGCCATCAAGTCAATTCTCTTAAAATTCGTTTAAAAAAAGCCATTAGTAATAATAGATTGCTAATTAATTTGCTAGGATTATCATGCATGTAGCTGGTACTAGCTAGGAAATAGAGATACGGACTAATATTCCTTGATCATATAACTGACAGATTTCGTTTGTTTATATCCGGTTCAATAAGTAATAAGCAACTCTCATATTATATGCGCCGCCGTACAAGTTTGTGCATACAGAAACGCTAAGTGTTAACCGGTTGGTAAGTTAAAACGGCATTTTAGGAACAAGTCATGGAGGAGGAAAAGTCCCTTGATTGTAGGAGGATTATTGGACTTGAGACGCAGACGCATTAGGATATACCTAATTTGATAGGATATATTATCTCCTCCAGGCATTAGCTGGGCATGATATGCACACCCACGCCTGGATATTTATT